ACAGTTTTTTTAATTATGCTCATGTTTATATATTTAATATTGTTGACTAACCCTATTTGACAAATTGGATATTCACATGTTGTTTTTCTATCTTGTTTAAGCTTTTTTGATTTAACAAAAAAGGGGTAGAAAGTTTATGGTAAGATGGAGTATTTTTAAAGACTCTTAATTTTTTTTCAAAAGTTTTTATGTCAAAAGGGAGATTGTTGAACATATTTGATATACCAAAAGTAATTAGTATTTTAAAGAAATTTTAAGATTCTATTCGATTTGGTCATTCAAATATAGAAATTCGTTTTAAGGTCAAAAACTCTATTTTTACTCCTTACTCTATTGAAAAATGGGTTATATATTGGAAATAATTTTCAAACATTTTTACAAAGGGTTTTAGATTTTAATCGAGTCAAAAACTAATTTTTAAATCAGTAGTACCGATGTTGGAAGAACAGTATCGACACTTTTCATGTGGTATCGATACATATAGCCTAAAAATTTAAAGAGTATCGATATTGTTCATAGCACTACCATTACTCGTTGCGTTATTCAAATACCAATATGCTATTTTGGTATTGATACTATGTAAGTATCGATACCAGTATTGATACTGAGAGTACCGATACTTTCTCTATGTTTTTTACTAATGCAAATTCTAGTATACTATTTTGGTAACAATACTACTTCAAGTATCGATCCCATTATCGACACTCCCTAAATGAGTACCAATACTCTCTTTCCCCAACGACTAGATTTTTGTATTTAATGCATTTAGTACTTATACTCCAAGCTTGAGTATCGGTACTCAAGGTGTATGGGGAGCATTTATTGCGGGAAATTTCTTCCCAACAACTCTATTAACTCCCATAACAAACCAAATAGCTAAAATTGCATAAAAAGGTATAAAAACAAGATTCCAAGTTATATGTGAAGACAAAAGATCAAAGAGAAAGCCAAAGCATTCACATAGAGTAAAAAAATTTAGTATTCTCAAATATTATTTTTACTTTTATGAACACTTTTGTACTTCTTTGTTTCATTTTTTCAAGTGTTTTATTTGTTCCGAATTGTGCAAACACATTCCTTGTCAAAGTTTTCTATTTGTAGTTTCTTAGGAAGGGTTGTACACTTGAGACTTTTGGGTATAAGTCTAAGTGTGTTGTAAGATTACACCTTGTCCTAAAAGGTTTGAAAAATTAGTAAATTAGTTGAAATCCTTAGTGTGGAAGCTAAGGTAGTGGATGTATACTTCACTGAAGAAGTTGAACCATTCTAAAATTGTTTGTATTAATTTTTTTCATTTTCTTGCAAAATGCTTCCATCAATCTTTTTATTGCCAATTCACCCCCTATTGGCCATCCCATTGGTTCAATTGACTCATCAAAATCTTTGTTTTTGCTCAAGAACAAGTAGTTTTCTAATTCTAGATCCTTATCAACAATGTTCACCTTATGAGTCACCGTTAACCCTTACCTATATGATTTGTTGCACCACCATTACCGCGCTAGCCTCTGAGTACATCATTTCTATGATGACCAAACAACTAACCGCTGGAGCAGAGCTCTAGCACTAAGTGAACGCCGGCTTGATCTTCGTAAACATCATAGAGGTCGATCATGTTCAGATGCAACGAAATGATCTTGACAATCTTTCGCATCACGAGGATTTCGTTGGTCAACAACACGTCGGAGATGGAAACACGGTATTGTATCGTTAATAATGCCATCATTGAAGAAGTTCTAGTTTTCTCAGCTCGAGGGGTGGCATCATCGTAACAGTGAATCTTTTCAAAGTTTTAATGGTGAATTCTCTGCATTTTTCACGATCTTCATTACTTCTTTTTATATATTTTCTTAGAACTGAGAACCCACCTAATTTGACTTCAAATAATTACAACTAATTATTATAAACAAGAAGGCTATTGCAATGGAGCATAGAAGTCTGAAGAAAAGGTATGTAGAAGATGAATAAATAGGGGTTGGGGAGAAAAATATATTAAAAATAGGTAAATTGAAATGTTGTCCCTAAACTAATTTAATTTACAAAAAGACACATAATCAGTATTTTGTCCAAAGTTTAGGTGTTAATATAAAAATTAAATCATTTTACTAACGGGTCACGTCATCAAACTAACGACATTCAATGTCCGAATGACCAAAACTTAATAAAACAATAATGTAAGTGATCAAACTTAATGAAACGATAACGTAAGTGATCAAAACTTAATAAAACAATAACGTAAGTGACTAAAACTTATGTTTTTTGAATTTGGTGAGCAAAAGTGAATAAATATGAAAGGAAAGTGACCAAACATAATCCACATATTATCTTCATGAAAATGATGTAATTTGGTTTTATATATTTACCGTGCCAATCAGCAAACCATTAAAGGATTAACAACCATTAACCTTCAGTGACTACATCTTAATTAAAATAAAATAAAATAGACTAAATATTATATTTTTTAATTCAGTAAGGAAAAGTTTATAAAACTCAAACGAAAGTGACCAATTATATAGTTTACCCATATGAAAATTTAAAAGATGTTATACCAATTAAACATAAAATTTAAAATCATAGATATTTACTTATTTATTTCTCAATGGAAAAAGAGTTGTAATGATTGTTATAAATTATTATTTCATACGAGAAAAGAAAATCAACAATATGTTTTTTAAATATAATTTTGAATAATTTTAAAGATTATTACACAATAATATAAATTAAATCGTGTAATTTAATCAAACCATCAGTATTAATCTTTTAATTTTAAGTAAATGAGAAAAAGAAAGTTAACTTGTTTGAATAATTAATAAAAGATGTGATGAGTCACAATTTTCTTGCAAAGCTGTTGAAGATGTCCACATGGAGAGAAGAGGAGTCCCCGACAAATGCTTAATTGGAGCTTGAGTCTGTGGATAAAAACATAATTGGCGCACAAGTGCGGGGATTTTGAAGTAAAAACAAGAAGGTCTAACTTTAGTTTCAGTCCCTATAGTCTTTGTACATTTGAAATTTAATCTCTCTACTTTTAGTTACAATAATTTGATTCTTCTACTCTATTTATTTAATAATTAAAGTTCAATTAAAATATTGTGATAGAAACTTTATAGAATTTGATTATTTCTTTTAACAACAATCTAATTTATTTAAAGTATCTTGATAGTTTTATTAAATATATTCTAATTATTAAATTAATCACGTGCTTTGTTGTTTGATGCTAGACTTTTAGTTTGAAATCAAACAAACCCTAATTATATATAAAATAGATAGAGAGAGAGAAGGATTCATTTGTACAATGTCAAACATTTTAGTTTTACATGATTTTAGGATCATTGAATAAGGAAAAATAGACTATTGTGATTAATAATTGGAAATAAGAATACATTCACTAAAAAATAATAAAATAATCACAACTGTCTATTTTCGCTCATCCAACAATCCTATAAACATATAAAACTTTTAAAAGAAAGTTGATATAAGTGGATCGGAGGCTATATATATAAAGAGGAGAGTGATTAAATTCTTAAAAGAAAATTGATAGATTAAATTGTAAATATATAAAAAATACAATGACTAAGAATAAATTAAACATATGAAGAACAACAAAGTCCCACACTGTACCGACCAATTAAGCTCCTCTCTCTCTCTCTCCCCCCTCCCCCTCTCCCCCTCTCCCCTCAAGTCTCTGTTTGAGTGGAACAACTCTTCGACGTTTTCCCAAAAATCACCGGTGACTGGTATATTTACCGATCTAACACCGGTTAGACTATATTTCCCGATCTAACACCTTAGCAGTAAAGCGCCCCCTGAATCGCGCTATATGTTAATTTGGCGCCACGTGGGTTAAGGCGCCCCCCTCCACCACGCTATATGCTGACATGGGATACACGTGGCTATAGCGCGGATCAGGGGTCGCGCCTTACCTATGTATCTGCCACGCGTCAGAAAGGCGCGCCCCCTGCCTCGCGCTATATGTTTAATTACCCCATACCCCGATGCTTCATACCCCAATCCTCCCTATAAATACACCCATCCTCAATCACTTTCATCACACCAATTTCTCTCAATTTCTCTCAACTTCTCTCAAATACTCTTATATTCTCTGTTTAAGTTATATTTTATTATATTTTTAATATTTTGTATTTAATTTATTTAAGTATTTTAATTTATTTAATATTTTACTTATATAATTTTTTGCAGATATATAATGGAAGGCGGTCTACTTCGCTTGGATGAAAATCATATATTTCGACACTTTGCTGATACGGTAACATTTTAACGTTTTAATTTAATTTAAATTATTAGTAATAATTTGTTGATTTATTTAATGCATGATTATTAGATTAAGAATTAATTTTTGTAATTATTTATTTTTAGGAGAAGGACCGTGTATTAGATCCTTTTATTAGGAACCTTAAGTTAGTGATACCTAGTCGTGTCTTGTCGTATTTAGTAGATGTTGGATTTGGTTAAATAGGTAGATATTAGGGTCACTGTAAGATAGAACTAGACCTTATCTCTTCCTTAGTAGAGCGGTGGAGGTCGGAGACCCACACATTCCATCTTCCGTGCGGAGAGTGCACGATTACACTTGAGGATGTTGCTATGCACCTGGAGCTTTCGGTGGATGGGGATGTTATATCAGGGATCACGCAGGGTTCCTGGACTACTTTGTGCAGGGAAAATCTAGGGCGTGTCCTGGAAAGTTTTAATGATGGTCGGATACAGTTAAATTGGTTAGATGTCAATTTTCGGGAGTTGAGTGAGGACGCGTTTGAGGATGAAGTTAAAATATATGCATGGGCATGCATACTGCAGCTGATAGGAGGGTTGCTGATGCCAGACAAATCGCGCAACCAAGTTCACTGCATGTGGTTACGATATTGGAGCGACTTTCATCTGGTCGGATCATTCAGTTGGGGCTCGACAGTTTTGGCTTTGCTGTACAGGGAGATGTGTCGAGCCATTGACTACAAGCGTAATGCTATCGGCGGATGTCTGCTGCTGCTGTAGTCTTGGGCATGGTATCGATTGCCCTTTTATATCCCGTTGTGAAGAACCCATTCGTATTTCCAATACTCTTGAGGTAATTATAAAACTAATTTCGTATATTAATAATTTTATAAAGCGTATAATAATTTTTTTTCCTTGAATAGGTGGTCTATTGATAGGAAAAATCATCAAGAGCTACCTAATGATTTAGAAAAAATTAGGGTGCTAATCGATCAGAAGGCTGGCACAAATGTATGAATTTTAATGTTTAAAAATCGATTTTAGATTATAATTATATAATTAGATTATTCTTTCGATAAAAATTATATATATTTGTTTTAGTTTGAATGGGTGTCATATTCTACTGATGATGTGAGGGCGGTGATCCCACCTGAGTTGAGGGGCCCATTAGATGTTTGTATGACGATGGTCCCATTGATCTGTTATGCGACCGTCGAGTGGCACTCCACTGATATCGTGCTCTGGCAATTTGGCTGTTTTCATCCAATTCCGGAAGCACCTCACAATATGGACGAGTTGCATAGCACATATAGACGCGGCAAGACAGATACAGATTGACTGGTGAGGCATCATGAGTGGGTCGTGTTGTGGGAGGATCGACATCGGCGCCTTCCCCGTAGAGAGCCCATTTTTGATAACCTCTTGATGGTTGCTGACGGTTATTATGAGTGATTCAACATTAACGGGAAATCGTTTCTGCTTCCCGAGGATGCACGAGGGCAGAACTTTCTGCGACGTCGACAAAGACGTTCATAACACACAGCACCATCGTCCCCCGACTCGTGGATGGATAGCATGTGCTTCCGGTTCATCCTCAGCTACACCAACAGGACCTTCACAAAGCCACCGTATCCAACGACTTACATACCGCAACCATATATGATGTCGCCACCACCTTTCCATTACCAGATGTCGCCGCCACCGCCTTCACCTGGTTTTATGACCTCGCCGCCGCCACCGTCACAGATGACCCCTCCTAGAGGCTATTATGGGTCTATGTTTGTAGATCTGACTTGGGGTTCATATATTGAATATTTGGTGGGTTCAGCCTCATCACCCATGGCCGTAGCACAGACACCTCCTGTACAGTTTTCATATTCAGCGATGTCTGGGTTTTATGAGTTTTCCCAGTTTTCGCAGGCCGGTGGGATAGTCAGTCATACACCTCCAGGGTCCTTATTCTATGGAGGTACTTCATCGTCATCAGATCCTCATCAACCTAATGTACTACCCAGGAGGAGGAGGAGGAGGAGGACGATGGTGATGCTGATGACAGCGATGAGTCACAACCAGTAATATGAAGAAATCCTCATCGAGACCGACAGCCACCGTCCTGCGGAACACATTCGCGTCGCAGGCATCGATAGATTTTATTTTTATTATATTTGTATTTAGTTTATTGGACTTTTTAATTGTAATTTTTTATTATTTCTCATTTAATACTTACTTTATTTTGTTAAATTTGTTGGAATTTTTTTAATGTATTTCAGTTAATTTTGTTTATTACCATTTAATATCAGTTATTGTAATTTGGTTATCATTTACCATTTAAACTTATTGTAAGTTTGTTGTATTTAAAATTATTTTGAAATACCAAATTGTTATTAGTTTGATAAAATTTAATGATTGTGTTCGATAACTTTCTTAATTTAGTCACTTATTATCTCTTTTATTATAATCACATATAACGCAAACGTCCAATCTCGTATTATTGTATCATTTTTTTAATCTTCATCAGCGATTATTGAGTGACATTAACTTGAAGTAAATACAAATTAAAGTACAAGAATTATTATTTGATAACAAATACATCATTTCCTCATCAATTGTTACTTGATGACAACAGAAGTGGACATGTTTTTCTACTGTGTTCTGGGTTTCTACAATGCCCATATCTTCTGTCTTGTCTAGATCTTTCTCAAATATCCATATCGCAATGAATTCAATTAAATTTTGGACGACCACACTCCCTCAATAAACTCGGATTTGGTACAATCGGAAGCCAATCTTGAACCTCATCAGTATCATTACCTATGGGGGGAAACTCAAATTTGTATACCTTAAAAACTTCAGATAGTAGGTATACGGGATCCACAAAATGGTTATAGTCTTGACGTGTATACGAGCAAGCGGCTATCACATAAGAGCATGGATACTTCAGAGCTTGAAAAAAACCCGCAGTCGCACGTTCTGTCCCTTATATTTACTCTTAACGACACAACTTCAATCCCTTAAAGAGGTCTCGGCAACTCTGTGACACAAAATATTTCATGCCTTCTAGAGAAGCTTGTTACAGACATTCCATTTGATGCATAATTTTTTTGTAGATCTGCAACTAATCTAGGGTGATAGACATGACCGCCTTGCATCCAGGTTTGAGCTTGTCCCTCGAGCTTTGCAAAAAGCACCCCCAAACGAAAATATGTAGTCTTTACCAAAGCCGCTACTGGTAAGTGACGTGCACCCTTTAAGGTTGAATTGATTGCCTCTGCCAAGTTGGTCATCATGTGTCCATATCGATATCCACCATCATATGCGTTCATCCAGATTTCTTTATCGATGAGGCTGATGTAATCGTATCCTTCCTCGTTCTTCGCCCGAAAATCTTGAAGCATTGATTCAAACATTCGAGGAAGTAGTTCGTAACCTGATCAAAAAATGTATAACATACTAACTTGCTTTCTTTACAAAATTAAAACGATCGAAAGAAAACAAACTACATCAGTTTCACTTACCCATGCACACAATTAATTGATGCTTGTCATTCTTCTTGTACCTTCCATGGTAGTTCACAACAATGTGTCAGAGACAATACCTATGTTGGACAAAGGGTGGTTGCCACATTGGACCCAAAGACTCATTGCTGCTTTGATCCCAGCCGCAATCTGAAATGACACATATGTTTTCCCTCGTGATAAATGTGCACGTAAATTTCGGAGAAAAAAACCCAAGAATCTGTATATTCTCCTTCGACAAGAGCAAAAACAAATGGAAGAATGTTGTGATTGCCATCTTGGACAACTGCTAATAATAAAACTTGCTTGTATTTTCCATACAAGAAAGTCCGTCGATCTGGACCACAGACTTGCAGTATTTGACAGCATTAACGCACTGTGGATAACTCCAAAAAACCCGATAGAATTGGCATCGATCATGAAGAACTCGATCATTATGGTATGCATAGGAGGTTTCGAAGTCCACAATTGTCCCAGGATTCAACGTCCGCACCAGCGTAAACAAACCTGGAAGTTCGTTGTAAGATGCATCCCATTCGCCATGAAGTTTGACAATGGAATTTTGTTTTACCAACCAAGCTTTTTTATAGGAGACAGTGTACCAATACTGCGATTGTATAGCTGAAATCAACACTACAACAGCTATATGAGAGTTGTTTTTACCATGGGCATGATGGCTTGGCATATCATTTCAAAGTCCAAGTTGGGATGATCTTGGTTGACCCCTCCAGTACAACATGTGTGAGGACCGTTGTATACTGTTAGTTCCCATATGTTAATTTTCCACTTCATTTTTGATACGCGAACCATCCAATTGCATCCGTTTTCGCGTCGGGCACAGTAGCATACATATTTTTTGTCGTGGATCGGTTGACTCTGGACTGAACAGATTACGGATATTTTAATTTTTTATAGCTATCACCGCTTCTTCTTTGCTTGAAAACTCCATGCCTAAAGATAACTCACCATTATTTATTGATGAGTAATATCCATAGTCACCGAGATGAGGCATATCCGCAAATTATGGCCCGTACATTGTACCATAATCAGCTTCACACATGTGTGCAGGAAGGTCAGTTTGTGGCACATTTCCTGGAACTTTATCACCATCAGAGTTGAATTGCGGTGATTCTGGGTGAATGAATAGTCTAGTCTCAGCACCATCCGTACCAGACTCACGAAGCGGTTCTTCTGTAGAGATAATGGTTCCTCCATGCGCTCTACATTTAGGTCGAAGAACCTACTACTTGCACGCCTTCCCCTTGAACTAGAAGGCATATCGACATTGAGATCGAAAAAGCTTGCAGTAGAATGCCTCCCCCTGGAGCTTGAAGCCATCATGTCAAATGAAAATTGCATAGATGGTTGCGTCGATGGCATCTCCATATTAAGGTCAAACGGATTTGCAGATGAATGCCTTCTCCTTGAACTGGACGTGATGTTCCCATACGGATTGTTCGTCGACCCACCTCGGTACATATCGTAAGGAGTTTGGATGAATGTCTCCCCATTATGGCATTAAAATCATTACACATTACTGTCGTCGGGCTGTCAACTTGATCAACTTGTTCAGCCAGCCCATAGTGGGAGCTTAATGATTAACCCCGAACAGGACGCACTTGAACAAACTTTGCATACATCTCAATATCGCCATATGAATAATTACTTTGAGAATCAATCATCATTGTTCGATAGTTCGAACGCTGGATAAGTTAATGGCAACAATGATGTTGGAAATCTGTACTGCAACGACGACATTCTTCTACTACTTCCAACATGAATCTTTCTCGAAATCTTCGTTATCAGCTCCTCAAGAGTTATGTTTCTCTTCAATGATATTTTAACACGCTCATTTGATACGAAACAACGCCGGCTTCATCTTCTCGAATTTCACCATCATAATAAACAATAGCTGAAAGTCGTGCCATTCATTGAGTTTAAAAGTGCGGCAATATTATATCTGCAAAAAAAAAACAACTGAAACAATGTTGATTAAATAAATAATATATGAACGAAAATATAACAGAATAAAATTTTTACACATAAATGTAAATAATTTAAATAATATAATTTTATATTATTACATGTATCGCAATACTATTTCGACGTATATTCCCACTTTCTAATTTTATAAACACATAAATTAATTGACAACAATTAGTATAATATTTTTTCAAATAATCATAATAAAAAATAAGTATAATAAAACAATTTATCACAAAATTACCTTATAACGAAAAATCACACGAACTTCTGAATCAAATATGAGACAATTGTCAGAATTATTGACTCGTTGACGGAATTGTTGTATTAATTTATAAGTTGAGAGGAGAGATGTGAGGAGATGTGAGGAACTTAACCGGGGGAGAAGGGTATTTATAGCCGAGAAAAGTTGCTATAATTATACAAGGCACTGTACCTGCACCGCGCCTTATATAATTATATCAGTTAAAGGTATGGTGCGACCCATGCCCCACGCTATATATAATTATGATAGAGAATTAAAGGTAAGGCGGGGCCCCTGACCCGCGCTATACCTTACGTGGCGTAAAACGCGCTCAGGGGTCGCGCTATACCCACGTATATTCCATGTCAGCATATAGCGCGGTTCAGGACGCGCGCCTTACCCCACGTGGCTCCAAATCAACATATAGCGCGGTGCAGGGGGCGCGCTTTACTGTAAAGGGTGTTAGATCGGGAAATATAGTCTGATCGGTGTTAGATCGATAAATATACCGGTCACTGGTGTTTTTTTGGGAAAAACGCCCAACTCTTCACCCCTTTTTTCCATCATTATTCTTATTCTTTCGATCTCCACTTCTCAATTTCCCCTTTTATCAATGCCCAAAGCTCCTTTTCCCTTGTTTCCCTCTAAATTATCAAAAATCCCTTTTTCTGCCTCTGAAAAAAGGTTTTTTTTTAACGAACATGGCTTCGATTTCATTAGCTAATTTTCAAACCCTGAAACTATTCCCTTCTCTCAACTCTTTTCTGCACTCCAAGCAACCCTGCATTGTCTCCTTATACCATCATCCCGATAAGGTTGTACCTTCATTGTCTCTCTCAAAACCCAAAGGAGATTCTTTTCACCCAGCTGTTGGACTCATCGCTAACTCAGTTCCCGTAACACTTCTCTTGCCTATTTTGGATCTTCCTTTTAAAATACTATTTTGTACAAGGTTTTGTTCTTTTTTGTAGTCAAGAAATGGGAATTATACAGTGGGTGATTTCATGACCAGGAAAAAGGATTTACATGTTGTCAAAGCTACAACAAGCGTGAATGAAGGTATCAAATGATCCTTTATAACTTTACTTTTTCACCTTTTATGTATTATGAATATAATTTTGTAGTGAAATTTCTGTAATTGCAGTATTGGAAGCACTTGTGGAGAGGAGAGTCACTGGTTTCCCAATGATAGATGATGAATGGAATTTGGTAAATTTTCAAGTATTTTTCACTATTTCAATCTTGTGTGTCTTGGAGATAACATTTTGATATCTTGTTTGTTGTTGGTATATGATTATGAATGCACAAAGTTGTGCTAGGATAGGCATAGTTCTTAATGATCATGGTTCGGTTTGGTAGAGATTTTTTTCATGGAGAGAAGATGGTCTTGGAGTAGATTATTGTTCTAGGATTGGGAATTCTGAGCTATAGCGGTACGACCGTCATCCGGCTTCTATATTGCATGTTGGCGTTGTTTCCGATTATGATTTGTTGGCACTCGACTCTATTTCAGGTAGTTGCTTTTGATGCTTGGTAATGAGTTGAACTTGTATGCATGGTTTGCTTAGAGTAGCGTTTCTATCATGCATATTTATTAAGTGTTTATACAAGCACGTCAGAAATGTAATAAGAGGTGAATGATATGCTTACTTCGGAGTTTCGATGGATATATATAGCCTTTTGTGTTATTTTGTTGCGTGTTATTCAATTTAATGAGCTATGGAGTCTTAAGACCCTTGGTTCTGTATTTGGTTTCTCTTGTAATTGTGTCCTAATGGTCATTGATTCGTTCCGGTCTTTTATCCATCAGGCATCAGTCAAAATAACACGGCCATGTTTCCTGATGTTGATAGTTCTTGGAAAGTAAGTAAGCAATCCTTTTTCGAATCTTTGGTTTTTCTTGAAATTTGTTTATAATGTGACGACGCTAAATTCTTTCACATTCTAGATATTTCAATCTTACCACTATGTCCCTGATAATTTTTTATATACTAAACAGCATGTGTGTGCCTTGCTCCTAGCAGTTTTTAACGTTCTCTCTATTTTCGAATATGGAATACCTGGTTTCACGCAAAATAGATCTAAATTATGAATTTGTGCAGCGTTACAACTGCTACTTTCTTTTTCTAATTTTGGGTTGCCATTGCAGACATTCAATGAAATACAGAAATTGATGAACAAAAATAATGCAAAAGTGGTCGGAGACTTGATGACACCTTCGCCACTTGTTGTTCGTGGAATAACAAACCTGGAAGATGCTGCCAGGTATTCTTTTGTCAGTTTTTCGTGTTACGTATATGTTCTTATTCTGACTTTTTCATATCAGGTTGCTTGAGACAAAGTATCACGAATACCAGTGATGTTACCTTTGATGAATCTACCATGTTGAGAAAGGTGACTTCAGAAAAATTGGAGCAAACAGATGGAACTCCCAAACAAGTGAGTTTGAAGGAAACATAATTGTCCTAGCCACTAAAGAAACTGATGTTGACTCTCCTATGGTAGAAGAAGAGTCAGATGAAGAAGAGGTTCAGACCCAAGAACCTCCACAGCAACATGAATCAATTCCACTCAGAAAGGGAAAGATGACCATTAGACAACCTGTTCGTTATGATGATATGGTCTCTTTTACATTACCAATTACAATTGATGACGTTCCTGCCACTTTTAATGAAGCAGTCCAAAGTTCAGAACATAAAAAGTGAGGATCAGACGTGGAAACTAGCTAGTATTCCGAAGGGAAAGAAGACAATTGGGTGCAAGTGGGTATATGCAAAGAAAGAAGGATTTCCTGACAAGAATAACATCCGCTACAAAGCAAGATTTGTGGCTAAAGGCTACGCTCAAATGGAGGGAGTTGATTATAATGAAGTATTTTCTCCAGTTGTAAAACATTCCTCCATCATAATTTTGTTGGCTTTGGTAGCGCAGTTGGATTTAGAACTAGTTCAGATGGATGTAAACACTGCATTTTTACATGGAGACTTGGATGAGGAAATCTACATGACTCAGCCAGATGATTCAAAGTTGCTAAAAAAGAAGAGATGGTGTGCAAATTAGAAAAATCATTATACGGATTGAAACAATCTACAAGGCAGTGGTACAAGCGATTTGACAAGTTTATGATAGGGCAGAAGTACACAAGAAGCAAATATGATCATTGCGTGTATTTACGCAAGCTACAAGACGGATCCTATATATATCTTCTTCTTTATGTTGATGATATGCTGATCGCTTCCAGGAGTCAGACAGAAATTATGAAACTAAAGACTCAATTGAACAGGAGTTTGAGATGAAGGATCTTGGTGAAGCGAAGAAGATTCTAGGCATGGAGATATCAAGGGATAAGAAATTGGGGAGGCTTTGTTTGTCTAGGAAAGAATATCTGAGGAAGGTACTAAAACGTTTTGGCATGAATGAGAAGTCAAAACCAGTTAGTACATCTCTTGCTCCTCATTTCAAGCTCGGTGCATCCATGTCACCTAAGGATGATACACAACGGGAATACATGTCAAAGGTTCCGTATGCAAGTGTTGTTGGTAGCATGATGTATGCAATGGTGTGTACGAGACCTGATATTTCACAGGCAATTGGGGTTGTGAGCAGGTATATGCATGATCCTGGAAAGAAGCATTGGCAAGCTGTGAAATGGATTCTGCGGTATATTCTGAACACCGTAGATGTTGGTTTAGTCTTTCAGCAGGACAAACAAGATGGTCAGTATGTAGTTGGGTATTGTGATTCAGATTATGCAGGTGATTTGGACAAGCATCGATCAACTACTAGTTATGTGTTTATATTTGCAAAAGCACCAGTCAGTTGGAAGTCCACCTTACAGTTAATAGTGACTTTGTCTACTACAGAGGCAGAGTATATGGCAGTTACAGAGGCTGTGAAGGAGGCAATTTGGCTTCAAGGGTTGCTTGGTGAATTGGGAATAAAACAGAAGCACATCAAAGTGCACTGTGATAGTTAGAGTGCTATTCATTTAGAAAATAACTAGGTTTACAATGCAAGGACGAAGCACATCGATGTTCGATATCACTTTGTACGAGAGATTTTAGAAGAAGGTGGAGTCATAATCTAGAAGATTTGGACCACTGAGAATCCTACTGATATGTTGACAAAAGTGGTAACTGCGATCAAGTTTAAACATTGTTTAGACTTGGTCAATATTGTTACAAATTGAAAGATAAAGTTGCAGACACTACTGAAGATTGGATTTTTGAGAGATGTGTGTGGAATTTGCCAAGTTGGATATTTGTTGGTTTTTTGGCAAATTTTGAATCCCACATTGTTTTTGTATAAGGAGGGAAATTCTTTTGTTATAAATAGAGCCCTCTTCCTCCTTAGTTTAGCATCCCACAAATATAAGCTTTCTTCTATATTAAAGGCTATTTGTACTCTTTCTCTCTCTTTGTAATATTTCTTATATTATTGAAATATTATTTTAGTAGTGTTCGAGGACGTAGGCATAATTTTGGCCTAACCTCTTTAAATTTTGGCGTTCTCTTTTATGTCTATTTAATAGCTATTATCGGGTATAGTTGTTGTTAATTATTGTCTTATTAAAATTACTTGTCTTGGTAGTTCTGTCTAAGGAGAGTGGGTTTTAAGAGGGATCATTGCGACCCATCCACTCTTTCCTGGGAATCTACCTTGGGGTGATTTTTAGTACAATCGTTTTCACACTAGTCACCTAGATAATAATTTTCAAGGTGAATTTGTTATTATTGGTGGAAATTAACCCGAATTCCACAACAACACAACCATAGAGCAATTGTTAGAACTACAAAAATTCAAAGCCAAAAGACCAAGCAATATGGAATCCATCATGTATAGCCCAAAGTTCTTCCTGAAGGGGATCAATAATGCCAAGGGAACAAGTGAAACCAAAGATCCAAGTGCCACAGTCATTTTGGAAGACTTCACCAATGGATCTTTTTCCGAAGGAGAATTACATAGCCATCAGTGTTTAGAACTATCCATTTGGAGCGGGATGATGTTAGCGAATAGGACTAGTGTTGTCAATTCTGAGGATAGGGATCAGGGAGAGTAGTGATTTGTCCAAGTGCTACTTTTTTATAATTGAAACAGTTGAATCTGGAGAAGCATTAAAGACATAACCATTTACATTTTTCTATATATTCCAAAGCACCGTGGCAAACAAAGATTTCAAGGGATGACCAGGTTGTTCGGAGAAGTATAAGAATTGTGAGAGAAAAGGTTCACATAAAATCAAGTCTGTAAGTCGAGGAACATAAATTGTTAAAAGTAGAAGAGCACTGCAGTGATTCCAGATAGCGATTGCATGGGGGCAATCATGCAACACGTGAATTGTAGATTCTTGAGCTGAGTCGCAGAGGTAATAGGAAGGGTCGCTAGCAATGAGCGACGAAAATGTTCTAGGTTTGTCGTGATTTTATTCTGATAAGTTACCCAAACAAAAACTCATATCCTTTGGGGAACAAGAAGATGCACTACAACAAAACTGGCTTTTTGCAGCTTTTTTCTTGACCTATAGCTGTGTTTTAACAAACGCCGCAAAAAGCGCCTCTGAAAATTGCGCCACTAAAGTTCGCGGCATTTATTAACGAAAAACACCGCAATAGGTAACGATATATAGCGGTGTTTGTTCATGTTTTGATATTTAGCGGCGTTTTCCCCACAAATGCCACAATAGGTGTTGAAAGTTAGCGGTGTTTGACTTACAAACACCGCAATAGGTGTTGATGTTTAGCAGCATTTTTCCCACAAACGCCGCAATAGGTGTTGAGATTTCACGACGCCTTTTTTATACAAAAGCCGCTAAAGGTCTGATATATAGCGGCATTTTTAGAATACAAAAACCGCTAAATGTCTGGTATATAGCGGCGTTTTTAGGATACAAACACCGCTAAATGTATGGTATATTGTGGCGTTTTTTGTTACAAACCCCGCTAAATGTATGGTGTATTGCGACTTTTTTATTACAAACACTGCTAAATAACACAGAATTTAACCATTTAAAAATTATGTTCGATTACCCCAAATCTATTTTTTCAACCTGTTCCATTATCTAACAAACATGACACCAATAACATCAAACTCTATATCCATAACAAGCAACATCAAATCCAATATAATAAATAAAAGTTTTCATTAACGTAATATAAGTTCAGTTAAACACGGTTCAGTAACATTAACATAATGCTGATAATATCAATGAGACTATGATGGTGGATTCTGAGGTTGCGTTTTCTGTATCATCTGCATCATATCATTGAGTCATTTTTCAATTCTTCACATCTCTGCTGATATGTTACTTCTCTCTGTGCTATCGTTGCTGCTTCTTTTGTTGCTATCTTTTTCCCTTGCTTCATTTTTCGTTTTCATGTTAGCCATTTATTGATCCATCCCAGCCAACTTTTGTTTTAAACGACTAACTTCTA